CATCATGTACCAACCCAACGTATTAGTTCACTAATCCAAAATAACACTAGCTACAGCAATTAGTTTGATACACAAAAGCAAATACTGCCCTAGCTTAATAAATATGTTCACAAATCCAAAATGAACCCAACATAATTGTAATTAGTCTGATTCTAGTAATTGAAATAAGCCTGCCCTAAATTGTGTTTAACATGAACATAATAATCTTCACTGAGTTGGCTGATGGAGGGTTGATTGCTGACTTGAGATTATGTAATTTCAGAGGTTGGTCATGGCTTGACCTGGTTATCACTCCTCCTCTCCTATTTGATTTGCCACGCACCTATTACACGTACACATTAGGCTAAGTCAGAACAATTGGTGCAACACAAAAAACAAAGGAAATCAATTTGCAAACTTGAAACACATACATTGGGTTGTATACTCCCATCCTCAGCAATGTACACACCCACTCCACTTACAATTCTCTGTCTTCACCTACCACCACTGTACCTACCACCTCTGCCTTGCCCTCTTCCTCTACCTGTAGGGATCTCATCTTGTCCTCTCCCTCTCCCTGCAGAGGTTTGAGCTTGTCCTCTCCCTCTCCCAGAAGAAGATGTAGCTGTAGAAGAACTTTGACCACCTCCTCTTGACCCTAACCCTCCTCTTATAGCTCTGCTACCTCTCCCTAGTTGTGTTGGTTGGGCAGTGATTGAGTGGTGTGGAGCTGATTCAGAAATTGTGAGCTGAGTTGCAGGGTTGTTAGGTGGTTCAGCATCCCTTCTTGGCCTTCCCCTCGGCTTTTTGGTGGGTGGTTCAATAGGGGGTGGTACTGTGTCCTTGTTAGGAAATCTTCTTTTGTTATGCCCCTTGATTTTGCACAAGGAGCATGTCATCTCAACACTAGACTTAGTCAAAACTCCAGGTTTTTTAGGGTTCTCAAAAGGGTCCCTAATTCTGTTCTTCCTTGGCCTCCTGGGACCAATTTTAATTAGTGGTGGGTGCATGGGATAATGCACCTTTGTCCAAAAACTCTCACCTTCTAAAGGTGGAATTGAACCTGTCCCAGTCAATACATACAATTATAACCAGGTTCAGTGGGAGCTTAAAAGTAATTACAAAGTGTATATAGAGGAGTAGAGTTAGTGTATACCTGCATAAGCCTGTAGATAAGCTTCCCTTGTGTAGCACCTCTCCACATAGTCTTCTGCTTCTTTGTTCAAAAAGAATATGCAGGAAACTGCATGGCAACATGGAATGCCAAGCATTTCCCACTTCCTACAGCTGCAAGTTCTTTGGTGCTAATTTACAACCAGCTGGTCCATGTTATGACTGACATTGAACAACATATCAGTGGAAGGCTGCACATCACAGTAGGTTGCTTTGTGTTTCTCCTTGTCCAATTTGGCTTGAATTCTAGGGCACAGAACACCTGTCACTTTCTCCATGTACTGCCTTTTCTTGAGTAGCCTCTGCATCAAGTATGTTCTGATTTCTTCTAACATGAACAAGAGGTGCTTTGTTTTGGCATTTATTATGTAGCCTTTGAAAGTTTCTACAATACTACTTGTTATTGCATCAGTCTTCATTGTAGTACTCAAGAAAGCTCTATAGATTAGGCTAGGATTATAGGCTTTGAATGCCTGAGCTGCTTTTGGATTCATCATAGTGAGCTCCTCCAATGCCTCATCATAATCAGGCATGTTGTAACACTTAGCAATCTTCCAAAATTGCAATTTTAGTTCATCTCCTCTATAGGTCTTGTGCCAGTTGGCAAGTATATGCCTAGCACATTGCCTATGTTCTGCTTTGGGTAGAACAGAGGAAACAGCATTGACAATAGCCTAACAGCAAAGTAAATGCAATAAATAAGTAAACACTAAACCAATTTAACCTTTTAAAAAGTGAGAAAAGTAGGAGCTAAAATCATAGCATTCATTCCTGGTGCTCATCACAAAGAACTGCAACACCATCAACTTCACCCAACTCCAACACTTTTTGTAGATGAACAAAAAACCTTTCCCAACTCAGATTATTCTCTCCCTCAGTAATAGCCCATGCCACAGGGAACATCTGGTCATTGGTATCCCTTCCTACAGCACAGAGCAATTGACCCCCAAGAAAAGTCTTCAGGAAGCTTGCATCAACAGCCAACACTTTTCTACAACCATCTTTTCATCCCTTAGACAAGCCCTCAAAGCACATGAAAAGTCTTTAGAACACAGGTGTACCCTTCTTCTGCTATACAGTAACAAGCTCAGTTGTACTACCAGGGCTGCTACTCTTCAAAGATGCAAGATAACCTCCTACTTTTTGGTAGTGTTCATGCATTGAACCATGTAGGAGGTTATGGCCAGTATATTTCACTTTATAAGCAAAGACCCTGTTCACAATGACCTTGAAAGCCCTTTTAATGCACTCCACTATTTCCTTTGTAGGCCAATGTGGTCTGCTCTTGAACACTTCAAGGAATTGTTTAGCAACCCATGAAGCTTTCAACTTCCTATTCTTCTTCATGTTCCTTTGGCAGGTATGCTCTCCACTAATCCTCTTTACAATCATGGCTGCTTTTCGAGAATGCCAAGATGCATACACATAGAAAGGACACCTTTAGTGTATTTCACTCCTAACCTCTGGTGTCTCTTCTTATTGCCAACAACAAAAATTAGGTTCTTTCCCTGCAGGACAGCATATTTGGCCACTGCCTCCTGGCAAATCTTAAACCCACTTTCCGCTGAAATTGACTGAAATCTGTATTTGGACTTACAAGCAATGCAGATCTTTTCTTACTCAAACCAACACCTCCCTCATCTTCACTCTCAGGTGGTGTATCTATCTCCTCCTCAGAATCCTCATAATCACTCAAATTTCCACCTTCAGACACTGGATCTTGAACACCTAATTTTCCATGAACTACTTCATGTATAACTTTTGAAGCAACCTGAACTAACTGTGTACTACAAGCCTTGACCATCTTTCTAGCTGTGTTGTACTCCTCATCACTCACATCAGAATCTGTCTCTAATGTCTCATTAAAAATTGCTACTTCATATTCTTTCTCAACCTCTAGATCTAACTGCTCCAAGCCTACATCCAAATCTTCTGCAGCTAAATCACCAGGATTGACTTCATCATAACTTTCTTCATCAGTGTACACATCACCAAACACCCTCCCCTCATCAGCTACTGCAACTCCCTTACCTTCGTCAGTGCTAGGATTATAAGGAAGGTCTTTGTCCTCACTACTATCAGTGTAACCTCCTACTAGCTCATTAAAGGGAATTGGAGAATCAGGCCTGTCATCAAACCAACTGTAATCTTCAAACACTTGGGGTTCCGTTTGGAATTTAGATTGTGAAGGAAGAGGGTTAACTAAACCCAGATCTGGATTAGAAGTAGTGGGAGGATGAAGACTGGCTTACTTAGATACAAATTTAACTTTAGGTGAGCTGGAAACTGTTTTTTTTAAGTGTGGGAATAACTTTATCTATTAAATGTGATGGGGTGGGAGCTTTTTCTTTTGGTCTAATAGTCAAAGTACCTTTAGGTGTTCCCCTTTTTGGGTTTGTTTTTTTCCTGAGATTTGGGTTTGGGGGAATCACACTCATCAGATTCTTCTTCTTAGGGTAACAGTTGATAATGTGTTTGGACAACAGGTGGGTTTGTGGGGTCCAGCAATGGTGACTCATCACCATGATGTACATATAACTCCACATTCCTATATTTTCTTCCAATTTCAATCACCTCCCTCACATCTTCATCACCACTAATCCTCCTCAAACCATTAGTCAGACTTAGTCCAGGGATCAAATACAACATAGCTTCAACAGATTTCCCACAACAATCAGTCCCCATCTGTACAATGTCCCATAAGCATAACTCATCTGGGTCAACTTGCTTTGTTTTACCCTTCCCACCCATATACACCAATTCACCATTAGACATAGTACTAAAAGACCAAGAATGCCAAAACTTCAACCCGATCTTGCCAAAAACACTATCCATGTTCAAACTTCAATTTTGAAACTTCAAACTACAACCTAGAATTGCAGTACCAAACTTCAATTTGGAAACAATAATAAACAAAAATACTACAACTACACAAAACGCAACATAAATCAAATATTCTATTGTTAAACATTCAACCAACAAACAAGCTTAAACAACAGTAAATTTCACATCAAACGAATCATAATTCCAAGTTTCGATTTTTATTGCAATTTCTTTTCTTAAACATGAATTAACACACATAAAAACCACAATTACATGTCGTAATTGGGTATAATTGCTCATTAAACAAAAAAAATGCACAAATTAAACACGATTTTAGGGTTACCTGGCCTCTGTTTGCTAACGTCAACAACTTCGATGTCATCAACTGAGTTGTTCCTTTCCTCAAATGGAAACCCTAGAACGCAATTAGTCCTTCCCTCTGCGATTTTTGGGAAATCTAGAGTAGTACAATGAGTCGTAATTGGGGGGAAAGTGAAATCCAAAGACAAAGAGGTATTAATGGCGGGAGTTTAATTTTGGCAGGGGGAAGTGGTTGGGAGAAGATGCTGACTTGGTCTTAAAAGTCAATATGTAGGTTTGTTGACTATTTGTTCACTTCCTTAGCAGGTTACCAGTTTTTTGTTTTGAAGAAAGATAACCCACCTTAAAGTTGGGATTATTGAGGAATAATCCAAAGTTGGGATTAATGAAAGTAAACGGGTGAAAGTTGGGATTAATAAAGTGTATTTTTCCTAATATTGGTTAAACTTAATAATATTTCCGTGCCTACAAAATAATCAAAACACTTAATACACTCAACTAATTATATTGGTTTAAGTTACAATTATAAAATATCCATCAAATTTTTAATTACAAAACCTAGCAAATTTATACCAAAGTTTTTCATTTGAAAAACAAATTGTGAAATATAATTAAAAAAAAAAAATTGTGAAATTTAATAATGTTTTTTTTTTTTTTTTTTTTTTTTTTTTTTTTTTCTGTTTCGTTGATTAGTTTCCTTATAAATTGGGTGTGATTAACAACCTTGATACACAATATTCCACATTTAACGGCTAGCAAAAACTAATCAACAAAACTTCAAATTTCTTTAATAATTCATATTTGCCCCCATCTTAATCGCTCCCTCCTACAACAGGCTCCAAAAAACTAGCCGTTACGGAGCTCCGTGTCCAACGTTCATCTTATTTTCCCTCTTTTTCACCTTCTCACAATCAACGCCTCCAAATTCTCCATTTTTCTCTCTCTCTCCTACTTTCTCGAGTGATTTCAGTTGAAGGAAGCAACAATGGCGACTCCAACAAAAGACCCACAAAGTGTTCGATCAAATGCCGCAAAGAATCAAGAGAATTCTAACCCTAATTTGAAATCATCTCCTTCGATTAAATCTGCGAAATCCCAGAAATCTGCGAGTAAAAACCCGATTTCTTCTTTTGTATCGCCCAAGAAGAAGATCAGGGAGAGGAAATTTGTGGTTGCGAAGAAGAATAATGCGAATAAGCAAGAATTGAATCGGAATTGTAAGTGTAAAGATAGGGTTAATGGGAAGTGTTTGTGTGTTGCTTATGAGAATTTGAGGGTTTCTCAGGAAGAGTTTTTTAAGAGTAGGGATGAAAATGATGGTGGGGTTGAAGAGTATGAAGATTTTGATAAACCCAGTAGTGAGAAATTAGAACTTGGGGGTGTAGATGATGTGGGTGATTGCGAACCGGAGGCGGCTGATTCTCCGAAAGGGGTGGGTAGTTCGACTACGAAACGAAGGCGGGATATATTGTTGCAGGAGGCAAGGGCTAGTGTTCCGGAGCCGGGTTCAGGGAGGGTTTTGCATCTAGTGAAGGCATTTGAGAAGCTTTTGACATTGCCTAAGAAATCGGAGGGTAACAAAGATGATGAAAATGAGGTGGAGGATGAGGAGGATACAAAGAAGGGGATTAAATGGGCGTTGCCGGGTTTGCAGCAGCCTCCTAGAGCACCCGAAACACAGGAATCGTCGTCTGCTTTTTGTCCCGGAGAATTGTTCTTCAATGCTGAAAGCTTGGGGATGGATGCACATGTTACTTCTTCATTAGATAGTAGCAGGGGAAGGTACATTATAATTCAATTGTGTGTGTTTGAGTAGTTGTTTTCGGGTTTGGATGTGTCTTAATTCGGTTTTAATTGTAGTGTTTCGAGCAGAAGTTCGATTGGAAGTCGAAGAAGAAGTGTAAGCATAGTGTTTTGGGCTTTATGTTATATTTGTATGTTTTAGGATGTATGTTATTGTATATTGAGGCTTATGTTTTGGAATATTATGTTTTTCAGGGCTCATTTTCTTCAGGGACTGTTGGTGGAAGCAAGTGGAAGAAGAAGCAACAGCATAGAGTCACTTCCCAGAGACCATTTAGGCTGAGGACTGAGGTATAATCACTGCATAGTTGCTATGTGTGTTTTGCTATTGAATTACTAATGTGTTAGAATGAGGAATTCCTTGCTGGGGGCGGTTACACTCATGTATTAGTGTCGAAAAGATTAGTTAGTCTTCCATGATTGCAGCCCAGGGTAGGGAACAATTTCATCAGATTTTTTGTGTTAGAAGAACTGATAAACATTGGAAGTCTGCTTTGCATTTCTGGATTGATTCTGGTGATCCTTACAGTTTGTTTGGATAAAGAAAGGGGAAGGAAAAGAAGGGGAGGGAGGGAAAGGGAGGGGAGGGAAGAATGGTGAGTTTTCCTTCCAAATCTCTCCATTAATTCTACAATTTAATCCTTTCATTTCTCTCCCCTCCAATTCCCCCCCTTCCTCATTTGCTATCCAAATAAAAGATACTCCATCTGTCCATTTTTCCTAACTTCCTTTCCCTCCATTTCCTTCAATCCAAACACACCGTTAGTGTATCTTTGCGGCATTTATTGATATGGGATTTCGAGGGGGAAAGGTTAGCTTTCAATGATGCAAACAAGTATTTTTTTTCTTTTTTTAAATCAAAGGACGTGTCTCCATTATTAATGGAGTGTAGTTGACCCTTTTCAATGCAGAATTTCTAATATTGGATTCTTTTTACAACGTTCCTGTTAGTAGGATACAATAAGTTAAAGCGTCGTCACGTTCTGCTCTAAGCTGTCATATTTATTCTCCGTGTACCAATTTTTTATTATTTGATGAGGGACACAAAGCTATTATTAATATTGCCTTCTGATGATGAGTAATAGAGCACTTAATTTTATAAATGAAAATTAATATTATACATAAAGCAAATTCCTAAGTGAATTCTAAGCCGGATTTCTAGATTGAACTCTCTTTGTTATAATTCTGTTAGTGTAAGCCATTAGCCATAGCATTGGAATATTTGGAACTTACAATAGATAGATAGCTTTTTTATACAACAACAGATGTTCTGCTGGAATTTTATTTGTATAAGCTAATGATGGTAATAGGCCTGATTCAGAGAATGATAAAGCTGCAAGGATGAATTTTTAGTTTTTGTTATTTGTTTTTTTTTTCAGTCAAATTCTTGTGATTATTGAGGGACATTCATGGTAACTTTGGGCTTTGGTTTCAACTGGAAAATTAACTTTCCCTAGAGTTCTGAATTCAGAAGAGATATAGTGCTTTTATGTGATATTATCTGCCACTTTTAATGTCTTCTCTGAACATATTTGAAGTCAATATTTCATCCATTTAAAGTGAGTGATTATCAAGTTCTATCATTACAACGTTGTTTTTGTGTCCTTTTCGACTTTTTTTCCATATGAGAGGGGTTAGACTAATAGGCTATAACTTCTGGTGGCTGTCTTTTCTAGATAAGTAGTAAACTCTAATTCTATGTAGGCAATAATGTGTGCAAAAGACTAGATTATAATAAGAATACACATTTGTTTTTCTGTTCTTTTTTCAAGTTTAATTTCCACCTTTTCTTTTGCAACCTGCAAGTTTGATCACAGAAGAGATGTATTTCTGCAACCTGCAAGTCTCATCTCTTAATTAACCTATGTATGTGTCTATTATAAGTGTGAAATGTTAATGCAGATGATTAAGTAATGGTTCATTTTAATAAGTTACTTGAGGACTGCAAAACTTTTATTTTATTATTAGTTCTATGTAGGTTAGTCATTTCTACTTCCCTTTACCAATGCTTTTTCTTTCCCTTCTCTACGTGTGTGTTGTAAATATTACATCTGCTTCCTCCACCCATAATTTCAGCAAAGAGGAAAAATGAAGGAGGAGGAGTTTGTGAAAAAATTACAAGAAATGATGATTGAAGAGGAGAAGCAGCGGATACCTATTGCACAAGGCCTTCCATGGACAACTGATGAACCAGAAGTGAGTCCTATAAACACTGTTTATCCTCAATTAGAAAGACTTCTATAATTGCTCTGTCTAATAGATTATACTTGAATAATTCAGTGAATGCTAATTTGACGTGTACATTCATATGTAGTGTCTGATAAAGCCACCAATTAAAGACATAACAAGGCCAATCGACCTGAAGCTGCACAGCGATGTAAGGGCTGTGGAACGGGCAGAGTTTGACCACCAGGTATGTTTAGTGATTATTGAATTCATTTCTTTTAAGTACTTTTGGTAATCATAGTTGCTAATGTAATTGTGATTCAATTACCAGATTTCTGAAAAATTGACGTTGATAGAGCAATACAAACTGGATAGAGAGAGGCAACAGAAGGTACACTACTAAATAACTGTGATAAACTGAACATAATCAGTATTATTATGATCGCAGTAAATTAAGTGAGAAACTTCTCTTTTGCTCTAACAGCTAGAAGAGGAGGAAGAAATAAGAAGATTAAGAAAGGAACTCGTCCCGAAAGCTCAGCCCATGCCTTACTTTGACAGGCCTTTTGTCCCCAGGAGGTACGGGGTAATATTTACATTGAATACAGATTGAGTTTGTATCTTTTTACTTTAGAAGATTAGCATCTAATTACAGTTGATCATCTCGGGATTTTCAGGTCAACAAAGCAACCAACGATTCCAAAAGATCCAAGGTTTCAATATCCCCAGCAAAAGAAAATTAAGTGTTGTGATTCATGGAATGACTTGAATGATTATATCCATGCAGCATGACTGGAACCAATCTTAAACATCACATTTTCGAAGCAATTCTCAGTGTTGCCTATCCTTGAAGATGTCATAATTCTTTTGTTCATAATATTTTTTTTTTTTTTGTTTTCTTACAACTTGCACACAAGTGTTTCTCAATATGAGTTTGAAGAACAAACGGTTGCCATTAACTCCGTAATTAGTACACAAGATGAATTAATGTATTTCTTGCTATCTTCTACCCTTTTGCCTTTTAACTTCTTCACCCATCTACAATAGGTTGGGGGGGGGGGAGTTTGAAGAACAAACGGTTGCCATTAACTCCGTAATTAGTACACAAGATGAATTAATGTATTTCTTGCTATCTTCTACCCTTCTGCCTTTTAACTTCTTCACCCATCAACAATAGGGTGGGGGGGGGGGTGGTGGGGGAAGCAATTGCAAAAACTGGAAAACTATCACCATCTCTTACTCTAAGAAACATGATTTGATAAAATTAAAAAAACGACATTATGAAACCGCACACTAAGATGAATTTAACAACATGCGTTAAAATAACTTTCTCCTTAGACTATGTGGTCAAATTTTTTAAACTACGACTATTAAAAGCAAATGGTGCATGTAGTATAATATATTATCAATAGAAAATATGAGTGGATGTCTTTTATGATATTTTTCCTTCCTCGCATTAGCAAAATAGCACCATCATTTTTTAAACCTTGATTAGGAGAGAATATATGACAGGTTAGGAGAGAAAAGATGGGTTTATTATTCCATACAATATTCTATTCTATAGAGTACTTGGATATATCATGGGCATCCACAAGTATTTCATAACAAGTATAAATTTATATTATTAACATATAGATGAAGGATCGGATTATCTACACGAAATATTGCACATTGTGACCGTTCAACTCGATTTATATATTGACATGTAGAAATGGATTTTTGTACAACATGCAAATACAATATCAAGCCCTCTCTATCTATCAAAAAATAAATAAATAAATAAAAATATTAAAACCTAAAATTATACTATAGTGTGATGCATTTGATCACACAAAAAAACTAAATTAACATTGATTGAAAAAAGAAAACCTAAACATGTCATCTTTAACAACACGTTTTACAACTTAGGATTAATGGATTGGATCACCTAGGGCTTGAATCGACTTCAAATCACCTTGAATAATACTTGATAAGGAGATTTGAGGAGGTTTTTATGATTATAATGCCACTGTTTTACTGTTTAAATAATTGTTATAAAGTGAATTTTTTTTGTGTTGAGCTCGGGTGGAAGAAGCATCGTATATATAATGAGCTTAGCTGGCTCGCGAACTACTCGAGCTCGGCTCGTAATTTTTACAAGCCAAGACCCAGCCCTGTTCGTCTTGAAAGCTCGCGAACAAGCTCGAAATATATTTTTTTAACATTGTAACCTTAAATATTAGTAGAATATTTTTAATAAGTCAAAGAAAAATAAATAAACTTAGTTATAATTTATTATATCTTAAAAATTGACATTATAATTGTAATGATTTTCGAACCTAAGTCGATTTTTATTGTAATTTAAACTTGATAATTTAAGCTCGAAAAAGCTTGAGGCTCGGCTCGAACTCGATCAATAGTGTAACGAGCCAAGCCTAAGCTACCCAAGCTCGGTTTTGGTTTGGCTCGTTAACATCCCTAGCCGCAAGAAACCATTTTCTGGCACAAATGTGGTAAAGCTAGTTTCCCAACGCTACCTGGTTTTCTTGCCGACATGTTGACTTAATTCCATGTTGATGTTTCATGTGTACCATGATGGGTACAAGCATGGTGCATAGGGTTTTGAGTCGATTTAGCTTGTCATAGATAGCTTTAAGCTTTGTGTGAAAGGTTTGCACAAAAATTTGGCCATTGGATTGAGTTTGAAGGTAGGTTAACAACCAAATACAAGGTATTAAGAATCAAGTTCCATCTCGATTCTAAATCCATACAACTCTGTTAACAATTGCCCTCGTAAAGGTTTGTTGACATTTCTTTATTCCATTTTCAGTTTTGACCCAAACAAGGGAAGTTATTTGAATTCTTTTGTCAAATTATTTTGGACAGGGAAGATTATGTCTCACATAAGTAGGGCCTGTTCTGATTTACTGAACTGAGATGAGCTGATTTGAGCTGACTAAACTGAAATGAACTGAATATTTTATAAGAGAAGAAAGTTAGGAACTAAACTTAACTGAAAATAAGCTGAAGAGAATAGGCCCGTAGTCTTAAGTTTCAACATGGTGAACTAGGAACATAAAGGATGATTTAGGGAGATTTTAGTCCATTATTAAACCCAATACCATTATGCAGTAGTTGTCATTTTTTTGGGTTTCGGTGATTGATTGATTTTCCAATTAAAATAATTCTTATTTAGAAATTTTATTCGAGGAACTTTTGTCGGCCTTAAGACCCGATTTCAAACGTCAGCCAAGTTGCAATTTCAACCGAGAAAGTATCACTTAAAAAAGATGTCTAATAAGGTTCCTTCGACATGGACGAGAAACACGGGAGGAGAATACGGAGTACGGAATACCTCTAAATCTCTAATTCAAGCAATGTATCTGAGCTTGAATAGAGATATAACTTCCCAAGTAAAGTCACATCTCCAATTGTACCATACAAGCTTCGCATGGGCAACAAGGCAAGTTAAGTCGGACCTTTTTCTTAAACTAGCTGACCTCTTCTTCAAATCAAACATTCAAACTACGGTTAAATTACTAATTAGTGGACTCAATTTTACTGTAAACCCTCAAAAATCAACCACTTAATTTTATTTTTCACATTTTCCCCGCCATTTGTAATTTGTGTAGTCTTCATCATTTTCTCTCTCTACCTCACTTTCTCTCTCTAGGGCTTATTCCTTTCAAAATTTCCCAATTTCTTCAACCTCTCTCTCACTCCTTCTCTCTCCTTCAAAGCCCTAATTTTCCAGAAATTGAAATTCCAATTTCACTGAATTTCATCAATTGATGATCAAATTCCAACCAAATTTCACTTCAATTGCTTTAATTCATTGAAAAATGAGCACCAATTTCAGCGATTGGACTCAAAGAGGCGTCACTCTCTCCAACACTCTACACTCCGAGGTTGCGCCTTGCTTACCTCTGCCGTCTCTTCCGCCGTTTTGCGGTGCTTCCGATGAGCAGCTTCGGCTTTTCGATGATCACCTCTCTCGGCCGCTAAATCGCCGTGATATCTTTGCTCAAGCTCCGAAAATCGCTGATCTCTTGCTTCATACTGATGTTTCCTACTTGTATGTGCTTAATTTTTCTCTGTATATCTTTTTTTGCTGTTGAATTTGAGTTTGGCTTTGAATTTGAATGTGAATTGAGGTGATTTTTTTGAGTGATTGGAATTTTGGTTTGAAAATTTGAATTTATTTGCTGCTGTTGCTGTTAGTCTTACATTGTGTTTAATTCGTCAGGATTCTTAAAAATGATGCGAGTTCAGGTTCTGGTTCTACAATGGCGCCTATGGATCTTTGCGAGGAGGTTTTACGATGCAATCGTGACGCCTTCGAGTGTACACTTCCAGGTAAGCGTAGTTTCATATGGCAATTCATTGGAGGCGTTCCAGCTATATGAATAATTTAATCCGAACGAGAGACAAATGTCGAATATACATCAACAATTTTAAAAATTCTACTCGTCAATGTTTGGCTGTGATAAAATCCAATGAGAGACAAATGCTGATTATGATACTATTTATCTATTTTATTTTTTTGATTTGTAATACTGATAAGATTAATTCTAGGCATTGTGGAACCGGTGCTGATGTATCTCACTTCTAGTTTACTTTCGTGATCATTTCTATCAATGGGCTTGAGAATATATGTATACAATTGGTGGCTTATTAGATGTTTCATTTTTTGGTTTAAAATATCAAATGAGGAATCGAGTGTGCAATCTATGCAGCCATTTGAACTTGTGGAGTGTGAATTATATTAGCTGGATAGATATTCTCGAGGGTGGGATAGAATGGAGTGCCCAACAAATTAGGTTGGCGTATGGACACTGTTCCTCATACGGCCTTAGCTGAAGGGAAAATAAAGTGGTTATGATGTATTATAACATGACTCAGAAGAAAACTATGTCAAAAGAGTAAAAAAAGGCGAGGAAGCCAATTTTGAGTGATTGGAGGAGGATTTTAGTCAGGAACATCACACCTTTAAACTGGAACAATTTGTTAATATCAATGTGTGCTGTTGTGGATTTTGTGTGAGGCATTCCTAGTGATAATGTTGTTTCGGGGCTATCTCCATTGATGCATCATGTAAGGAGGGTTATTAGCTCATAAAAGGACATAGCATGGAATTTCTGGCTTTCTAAGCCAATGGGCCAAGGAAATCACATATTAGACTTTAGTTGTCTTCCTAGGGATTAGGCAGTTGGATATATATTTCTACCTTTTACTCCCATGACTAGTCTCCTGTGCATTTTGGATGAAAGTGGTGAAGATTTATCCCTTATTGTTTATCGTCTCGTTCAAGTTTCTCAGGTCCTCTTGAAGAGCGAATCTCTAATGTGGAGTCTGATCGCAACATTTATGAGAAGAATGAGCATGTATCCTGTCAAGTTGATGGAGACCGTGAAGAAGGACACATGCGCCATCATGCTCATGTTGTTGATGTATGCGATCCTTTCATTTTTTTGTCTTTTAATTTTTAAACATTTTGTACAAGACCCTTTTATTTCTTAATTGCAAGCTGAATTTCAGGATGCACCTTCATCATCTAAAAAAACAAGAGCTAAGAAGAAAGGAACCCAGGGAGTGTCATCATCTGCTTTGCCAGATTTCAGTGAACAAAGAGGTTAGTATAGTTTACCAATAACTGGAATTGGCATCTTGGTGTTTCATTCTATAAACTTTTTACACTAAGACTATTGTTGATCAAACTTGTCAGATGCTATGATTGGGCGATTCTGTGATTTTTTGGAGGACTTTTGCAGTAGGGCTGAGATTCCTGGTGAAGAGCGAGAAGAGTCGGAGTGGTTAATGTTACCCACCTCTGACATTCGTATGGTCGTGAAGGAGATATTGACTATCAGAGAAGAAAAATTGGTACATCGAGTTCCTGTTGACTTTCTTGTGAGACTATTGACGGTTTTAGACCATCAGATTCATCGCGCTGAAGGCCTATCAATTGATGAATGTGAAAATGTAAGTTAATATGTAATGCTTTTCTCTAATCCACTGGATGTAAGG